GATTAAGGACCTGCAAGAAGCAGATCAAAAGTCTGAGAACACTGAAACTAACCAGCACTGGCAAGGCCATTCCTCCATGGAAGGCCATGTCTTTATGGTATACATAGCATGATTTGAAAGGCACCTCAAAGCAAGAACTATACCTCTCATGGCAATCCTGCCAAACTCAAGCTCCTGCCCACCTTGACCCTCTTTAAAGTTAGAGCAATACCCCCAGATGTTAAATGGAAAATTTTTGCACAGACCATTGAACAATTGTCCAAACTTTAAGGGTTGGACAGAGCTACAGAGATCAAGCAAATGAAAACAAATAGAAAAATACTGGAATATAGAATTTGAGATTCACCTTGGGGAATTCTGTGAATTCCTGTAATTGCTCTCACATAGAAAACACTTTTCTGCCACATTTACACACTAAACCACTAAATAAACTTTATGGGTGGGTTACATAGACAAAGATAGGGCCCCTGCCCTTGAGGAATTTATAAAGAATCCTTATTAGTACCACGATAGGGAGAGGGATTTTCCTATGTCTCACAGGAAAGTACCCTCATATCTTAAAGGTTTGATATTAGTGCTGGTAATTAGTTTTTTTTTTAATTTCTACCATATTTAACTTCTCAGAGTCTTCTAGGAGTCAAAGAAAATTACTAAAAGTCCTTGGACCTCCCCAAATGGTCATTTTTCCAAATCAAGCATAAATCTGAATCAAGCCAAATCAAGTATCAAGCAGCTGAGAGGTTGCAGAGAAAATTAATCACCCAGAGTTTTAGAGAGCTCCAAATCCCTTTACTGTAAAATAACTCCTGTCCAATCCAAAAAAAGCTTTCATTTCCCTGTCTGAAGACATAGACACTCTAGAACCTTCTTCTTCTTCTTCTTCTTCTTCTTCTTCTTCTTCTTCTTCTTCTTCTTCTTCTTCTTCTTCTTCTTCTTCTTCTTCTGTCATGGGGCTTGAACTCTGAGACTGAGCACTGTCCCTCAGCTGTTCAGCTCAAGGCAAGCGAGCGCTCTACCACTTGAGCTACAGCACCACTTCCGGTTTTCTGAATGTTTATTGGAGATAAGAGTTTCATGGACTCCTGCCTGGGCTGGCTTTGAACTGCGATACTCAGATCTCAGCCTCCTGAATAGCTAAGGATTACAGGCATGAGCCACCAGCGCCCAGCTCAAACTTCTTACTAATTTATACCCTCCTCCCACCCAACCTCTTACCCAAAGAGGAGACCCTACTCATTGTTTCCTTCCAGCCTTAAGGCCTATTTGTCCACAGAGCAGCATGGAAAGGGGGTCCATACAGTAGGTGTCAATCCCCCTCCCAGGGCAGGAAGGAAACCGGCACCCACCTCTGGGCATTCAGTGGTGACTCACCTAGAAGAGTCCACTCCCCCACACCGGACACAGGAAAGATGAAAATCCTGCCATTACAGAATTCAATTTGAAACCTCAGGCCATTGATACCACCTTCATATGCAGCTAGCTGGCCCTTTCCAAGCCCTCCTCCTGCCAGTCTACAGCCACAGCAAATGTTACTCAATTTCTTCAACATACTGAGACTTTATGCATAGAACTTGTTCTTCCTTTCTATAGAAAGTCCTTCAGTTGGTTACCTCTTAACCATTCGTCCCTAAATCTTCACTCTAGATGATTGTAAACTCAACAAGCACCTAGACTTACCTCTTCCCAGGAATTTCACCCCTAACAGGGCAATTCTCTGATTATCTGATTCTATCTCCTAAAAAGGTTTAAGTGTTTGTAGGTAAGCATCTTGCCTTGTTCAGGATTGATGCCTGAGTCATCATTAGTACTTGGTTAATAAGTGCAAATAATATTCCTAGAATAAGGTAGAAGAGGAGAAAAGATAAGGAATGAGCTCTTAAATTTTCCTTACCAGCCACTACCCATTGTCTAGTCTAAACCAGTGACTGTCAAGGTATTGGCTCCCAGATTCTCAGGACTCATAGAAGTTTCTTAAAAACAAATTCTTGGTCCCAGTCAGACCTTGATTCAGCAGTTTTTGTCTTAACAAGCCTTCTGAGTATCTCTGCTACACTCTTCAATCTGAGAACTACTACTCAAGTCCAAGCTTGGGTCACAGCATTCAACGAAGTAAAAACACTTAGATATTGAAAAATTTTATACTGATACCTTCATTCAGTTAATCAAACACTTCTTCATCCTTAACCCTTTACTTCCTATAGTGATTGTTATAGGTTGGTAGCAGTTTCTCTTAGCTCCATTCAATATTTCAATTGGAAAAAAACTCAAGAACCACTTTCTCAGATAATAAAACAGGTGGAATGAGCTGGGTATGGTGGAACAAACCTGTAATGCCAGTACTTAGGAGGCTGAGACGGGAAGATTATGAGTTCAAAGAGCCTAGACTACATCAGGAGAACTTGTTATGCAAACATATGTACATACATGCATGCATGTATACACACAAACACACATATACACATACACACACACATACACACACAAACACACAGCCAGCAAGCAACCAGAAAGAATGAGGTCAGGAATGTGGACATAGGCTTTTTCTAAAATTACTCAGATACTTGTAAATTCACAGTTCAGGTGCCAAAAAGGTATGTTATCAGCAGCCTTCAGTAGGGTTTCTGAAGGTTTGAGTTTCTAAGGACATGGCGTCAACTCTGCAGGATTATTTAGGGCCCTAGGTTGCACACTTACATTGGAGAATTACATTCATGGATTTATTTTAAAGGCAAAATGCCCAATTCATGCCATCCTAAAATAAATTTTTATTTGAAAGGGGGGAATAACCTCCACTTGTAAGAAATCTTGCTTCCAGATAGAAAAGTCCCAGCACAAACACTGAAGCTGCAACAGACACACAGTGAATGTTCTGAAAAATGGGGACATCATAGGACTGCTCAAAGTCTTGTCTGTGTTTGGGTGGCTGGCTGGTGCCCCCTGGTGTTCAATGTCTGGACCCAAAAAGAGTTAAAAGCAGAACTAATGTTGGCTTGCCAGGGCAAAATCCCCACCAATGGCAGTGTGCCCATTGCTAAGGAGTGGGTCAGGGCCACGCTGTTTATCCTCTAGGCTGCACTGATAGCCCTCTGGGACACTGTCCCAGCTCTGGTGGAAAAGCACTCACTGAAACAAGTGGCCTAGAACGAAGCAGGTAGAAGCTGTGCCCAAGCTCACCCAGTTGCCTCCACCAGGGAGATGGATCATTATGTCCCTCATGCTGGGTGTTTGGCTAAAGGGCTTTTCCTCTTGACTTACTGCCCAGGGCAGAGGCCTACAGCTTGTTGTTGTTGTTTGTTTTAAGGGAAATTAACTGTTCTTCTGAAAACAGCTTGGGCCCCTGAGGAGACATTGCAAAGCAGTTCTGAATGTTCTAAGCCAGTGGGTGATAATGGGCACTGTGTGCCCAGCAAAGGCACTTCCCACCCTTGGTCATAAATAGTCTTAACTGGCTCATGCAGAGACCTGCTATTGGTTCTTGCTTCTCACCTGTCTCTCCTTGTGACTCCCACCTCCCAGGGTTCAAACCATCACCAGCCAGATCATCAAATCATGTCCCTGGTCTACTATGCCTAAGCCATGATACCATCAAGACAAGGCTACAAGGCTGATCCCTTCAGGGAGGCTGAGGGTCAGCTTGGCCCCGGAGACAAGGCTTACTAAGAAAGCAGCACTGAATTGAAACCTAAACTGTGTTGAATCCTAGTGCCTCAAAATATAAGCTGAGTCATTCAAGTCAAAGAAAACAAATCATTAAAACTCTCCCCAGTCCCTGTTTGGAAAAATGGAGATCTTGACTCTTGGCCCTGAAATCAGCCCAACATGGATCTAGGGATTTAATAGAACTAAATATGTTGGTAAATCTAACAAACACATATCCCCTTCACCTCAAAGCCATTACACATGCTCTTCTCACTGTCTAAAACAGCTTTCTCCTGATTCTTTCTCCACTATATAGCACTATTTGCCTCAGTCTTAATTTCGATGTGTCTAGGAATCCATCTGTGGGCCCCTTAACTGATTCCCACAACCCTCCTCAGCCCCACTTCTAAAGGTAGTCAATTGGCTGTTTGGTGGTCTGGAATCCTTTTATAACAGATTTTGTGAGTCAAGAGTAGACATCAAATGTTCATTTGCTCTGCACCTTCAGGGCCTGATACAGCACCTCACCCATTTAAAGTACTCAGTAGATAGTGTGAATAGATGAATGGATCAGAATAAATACAGGCTCAGGTTAGAGGGTAGGAGTTGAATCAGGGAAGCAACAAAAGCTTGGCTTAAACGATGTACCAAAAGCTTCTTACAGCCCAGTGTAGCAGTTCTGGCACATATGGGGTGTGTCCTAGTGAGCTCTCTGCCTATTGTTTTTAGGGCTCTTATTTCTTAGAAAAGAAACCTTGGGGATCATTCAGGTGGACACACATAGGAAAAGTTCAGGTCCATTCTTCCCAAGCTCAATCAGAGATTTTAATTTATTCTTTTGTATTAATGTTTTTGTTTAAACCTATGGTTCTTTGGTTAAAGAAGAGAGACATGGAAAACCCCACTGATTTCATTCTTTGCCTTCATTTCACAGAAAAGGAAAGAAAACTCAGGGAGGAAAGGGCACTCTTCCCCAAAGACCACTCACCTCAGTATTAGCATCAGAAGTCACTGAATCCTGTACTTTTTATAGGCTTTTCAGAGGAAGGGAAGGAGATAGGGGATTGTTATTTAAAGTGAAAGGCTGAGGGTCTGAAGGAGATCCAGTGGTTCCCTAGTTGTTATGTGCCCCACTTGGACTATTTGGGAATGGGGTATGAACATCATATTCCTCGGTGTCAGCCTCACCAAGAAATGGAAAGCGAAGCAAGAAGGGGTATGGATATGGGGAACATAGGAGGACCTGACCCTGGAGTTCACAGTCCCACTCACATATACAGAGCACTCATACTTATGGCTGATTCTCGCCTAAACTTACTGCTTGGCATTGACAACTATCTCTGTAAATATCATCTCTTTAGGTCATGGAGGGCTAAACCAGCTGGGAGGGGCCTTTGTGAATGGCAGACCTCTGCCTGAAGTGGTCCGCCAACGCATTGTAGACCTGGCCCACCAGGGTGTGAGGCCCTGTGACATCTCTCGCCAACTCCGAGTTAGTCACGGCTGTGTTAGCAAGATCCTCGGCAGGTAAGCACAAAATTCACCTAACACCACCTTCCCTGCAGTGTTTATCTTACCTTCAGGCTAACCTTAAATGCAAACCCATCTACCCTCCCATAGACCAACCCCCATGTTCACCTTTAGTCCTAGCCTCTGAACAGAAGAAGGTAATAAGTACTCTGAGGCTTCTCTACCCAGTATTGCTCTTCTACTATTGCTTTCCTGTCCTTTCCTTCTTTGTCCACTTCTCCTTGCCTTAGTCTCTCCTTCTCTTTTACTCCTTTACCCTGTGTCATATTTTCTATAGTTGTCAATGCTTCTGAGACAGGAGAATTGTCTCAGCTGAGACCCAAGGAAATGGGCAGTCTAGGGAAGGAGCACAATGTTGGAGGTGGCTCCTGAGGTCTAAGAGAGATATTTGAATTCATGCTTCTCAAACTGTAACTTCAAAAGCATCTGAAACAAAAACAGTGGGAAAGCTGAAATACAGATTCCTAGGTACTGAATCAGCCTCTCTAGGAACCAGGCTATGGTGCTTATGACTATGGAATCAAAACTCAGAAACATGGAGGATATTAAACCACTGAGCTACAAGACTAGAGCTGTTCCCAACCCTGATAATCTTAAATTTAAGATGCAAAAATAAAAAATAAAACAGTGAGCTAGGTGACAGTGGTTCATGCTGATAACCTGCACTACTGAGGAGAATGAAATCTGAGGAGCATAGTTTAAAGCCAGCCTGGGCAGGAAAACCCATGAGACTCATCTCCAATTAACTACCAAAAAGCAAAAAGTGAAGCTGTGGTTCAAGTAGTAGGGCATTAACATTGTGTATAAAAGCTCAGGGACAGTGCCTAGGCCCTGAGTTAAAGCCCCAGGACCAGCAATCAGTCAATCAATCAATCGGTGTCTAGGCTCCAACCAAGACAAATTTAGGGAAATGGACCCAGGTTAAGGTCTTTTTAGAGTACCTGACCCCCAAGTGCTTCTACCTCCCAGCAGCCAAGGTTAAGAACCACTTTTGGCCAGAAGCAGCAATGACTTTCCATGTGTTTTGGTTTCAAGAACCCTGAGTTAGACCAGAGTACCTTCTCTCCTTCCCCCTCCAACCCATATGTGGATTCAAGGGGAACTCTGGTAAGGCAAAGGGGCTTACGGAGGAATAAGCCATAAAAAGCCTTGGCTCCCCACCTGAATCATCAGGGAAAAGGTGACCTTTGGCTGGGTTCAGGAAGAGGGGATTTCCAAGATGGTTGTAGTGGGAAAGAACTTTGGATGGTAGAGACAAATAAATGGAAATTTAAAGAGCCAAGTTTTTCTTTTTAATGGCAAAAGAGACCAGATGTAAAACAAGGAAAAGAGAGTATCCTAACCAGGGTATGAATCTACCAAAGTAGCTAGTTGGGATGGGGGATGGAAAATGGAAAGTAGTTGATGCCCTAGAAAAGGAGGCTAGCTGAAGAGGCCAGGGAGCTAAACAAGGCTGGGACTCCAGAATCTAGGAGGAATAGCTTTAACTTTAAGCAGAAAGCCAGTGAGTCAGGGCTAAGGGATATGTCAGGGCTGTGAGCAAAGGTGAACTAGCAAGACAGGGCAAAGGGCTTGATGAACCCTTCTCTAGGGAGGGGCAAAGAGAGAAGTGAGGGTGAAGGCTTCAGTAGAAAGTTCTGGTTTGGCAGCAGCCTAGACCTACCCAAGCAAGGGAAACAGGCTGTTCTGGGAACATGGAGTATTTGCGCCCAGCCAGGGGGTGGGAGTGGAGGTGGGAGAACAGCTCACTCCTACACATCTTCCCAGAAGTATTGAAGGAAGGAGAGGCTCTGGCTATGTTGCTGCCCAAAGGCCCCACCTGCTTATTGGGTAATTCTTTGGGGTTCTCTATTGGAGTAGGTACTACGAGACTGGCAGTATCCGGCCTGGAGTGATAGGGGGCTCCAAGCCCAAAGTGGCCACCCCCAAGGTGGTGGAGAAGATTGGGGACTACAAGAGGCAGAACCCCACTATGTTTGCCTGGGAGATCCGTGACCGGCTGTTGGCTGAGGGCGTCTGTGACAATGACACTGTGCCCAGTGTCAGCTCCATCAACAGGTGAGGGACAGCATACTGTGGCATCTTTCTGGGCCCTGAACTTTAGGGGAATCATGAAAGAGACCTGAAGAAGAGTTCAGCTTTGTTGAATTAAGGGCTGGGATGAGGCAGGCCTCATGCTAAAGAATCTGGCCCTCCTTACCTCCTTACTGGCTGGTGCTCTGGGGCCTCTTCTTGCCCCCCACACCAAGGTGTGCTATTTCTAGCTTCCTTTTTCAAACACCACATCCTTCCTTTCATTAATTTTTTTAAATTCTTGACTTAATCTTTTCTTGAAGCCTAACCTGACCTTTCATTTAGTCCTTTAATTATTCACTCACTACCTCAATCATTTACCTACTCATTCATTCACTCACAGATTCATTCATTCACTCACACATATTTCCCTCATTTCTATGTATTAGACCTGGGGACACATAGTCCTTTTCCAAGTGAAGCTTACAGTCTCATAGGAACAGACGCAAACCAAGAACCTCACAGTCATTGTGAAAATTCAGCCTGGCATCCTGTAAAGAACAAGAAACTGAGCACATATGAGCTAGCCTAGGGTGACTTAGTTTCATAACCAGGAGGTTACAAAAGGCTTTTACTAAGAAAAAAATTTGAATAAGAATTAACTAGATGAAAATGAGAACAAAAGAACTTTGATACAGCACATGCAGAGAATCCTTATGTCTAACAAGATCTTATACAAGAAGGTGAAAGAAAGCTAGTAGACAGAGAGTATGAGAGCTTCATCGAGTTTGGAGAAGTTAGCAGAATATCACCCTTTGGGGCCAGCCGATGGCCTTGTTACATATTCAAACCTTGGACCTATGAAACAAAGGGAAACCCCTAACATAGTTTAAGCAGGAGGCTGCCTTGCATTTCAAAAGCTCCCTCTGGCTGCCATAAAGAGAATCAACTAGAGATTCATGAGTGAATGGGTTGTTCCTGGGAGTACCCATGGAGGGAGAAGGTTGGTAGTGGCATGCTCTGAGGTATTAAGGAGATACAAAGAGAAATGGGTAGAGGTTAACAGGAAAGATAGGAAAGCAGATGTTAAGCTCCATTGTATTTCTGCCTTGAGTGGTCCATGGTTCCAATCATGTAATGGGAATATGAAGGAGAACTGAGTCTGAGGAATGAGGTCCTGGGTTTAACTGTGAACTAGATAAGTTAAAGATAGCTTTTGAGATAGCCAAGTGGGATGTCATAAAGGTGACAGAAGCTGGGGCAGCTAGGAGTTGTTTTATCTTTAATGGCTTTTCTTTTCTTTCTCATAGAATCATTCGGACCAAAGTGCAGCAACCATTTAACCTCCCCATGGACAGTTGTGTGGCCACCAAGTCCTTGAGCCCAGGACACACATTGAGTGAGTATTGAGGGACTCAGACATAAATACCCTATCTAAGGCCTCACAAACAGAGACATACAAACAGACCTATTCAATCATGTGTATACTTGTAAGCTTGTGCCTGGACTGAGTTGAGATGCTAAGATGAAGCCTAGCCAATTTCCACAGAAGATGCATTGAGATGTGGAGAAGTTGAAACATCACACAACAGCAATTCTAAAGCCTTTCTACTAACAGGCCCTGGGGAGGAATAACCTCCAACCTGTCCAGGCCATGGTGGCAGCAGGTGCTGTGAGGAGGGGTCGCCCTCATATCCTGATTAATCCCCTCCTTTTTATCCCTCTGCAGTCCCCAGTTCAGCTGTAACACCACCAGAATCACCACAATCAGATTCTTTGGGCTCAACCTACTCCATCAATGGACTTCTGGGAATTGCTCAGCCTGGTAGTGACAGCAAGAGAAAGATGGATGACAGTGAGTACTGAAGGGGGACAGGAAGGTCGGGTGTAGGAGGGAAATTTCAGATTTTTGATGGGGAGAAATGCTTTTCCCTTCCTGGCTTAGTACTTAGTAGGGTTCTGCTACTCCTCAATGGCAGTAGTCACATGCCCTAGTATCTTCATTGTCCCAGTCAGCACAGAACCTGAACTTTTCCTCACTCTTCAGCCTGTCTGTTCCTCTGCTATAACCTAGGGAATGGGTAGGGGGTTCATCTGAAAGCTTTCTCCATGCTACGGGGTACCAGGTGACCAGGACAGCTGCCGGCTGAGCATTGACTCACAGAGTAGCAGCAGTGGGCCCCGAAAGCACCTTCGCACCGACGCCTTCAGTCAGCACCACCTGGAGCCTCTTGAGTGCCCCTTTGAGCGACAGCATTACTCAGAGGCCTATGCCTCCCCCAGCCACACCAAAGGCGAGCAGGTAAGGATGTGGGCTGCGGAAGGTAAGCAGGGGTGGGCAAGGCCTAGAGTAAGGCATTCTTTCAGGCCCCATAAAGTTGCCTCTTATGGGGTTGGGACCCAGGCTTCATGCTTCATGCAACCAGACATGAGGCCCTGTATCTTCCTCTTCTCCCAATCTTCTTTCCTTCCCTCAAACAACCTGAACCTGGCCCTTTCACTGAAGGGCAACATAACTTGCTGGCCCTGTTCCTTTGTCATCAATGGATTTCCCAGATCAGAAGGCAAGACCACCCCAACTATAGTATGGAAGCTTGAAAGTCTTCCAGTGACTATGTCAACACAACTCCCAGCCCAAACTCTGCTTCCCTGGCACAGCCCAGATTCTGTGTTACTCAGTCCCCAAGCACGCCATGCTCGTTCATGCCTCTCTGCCCTTGGGCCAGCTGCTCTCCTCACAGCATGCCTTTCCTCCCACTTCTCTGCCTGGAAAAATACCAGTTAGCTTTTGTGACTCAGCTCAATTATCCCGAATGCAAATTTGTCCCTGCCTATCAGCTGTAATGCTTCCCCCTTGTGTCTGTGATTCTTCATGACCTACAGGTGTCTCTCAGTGCCTTCCAATGGTGCATCATAAAAATCTAGTGGATAGAAGGGTAAAGACAGGGAAGTCTCTTGAGAGAATTTTTGAGACTCTTTGAGAGACATTTTTATCTGTAGCACTTGATATTGTACATCTCTCTATCATCTATCCATCCATCTATCATATCTTTTTATTATTTATATATCTATCCTTCTAAACATATCCAACTATATCTATCCATCTGTTCTATCTATATATCTATCTATCCATCTATCTATCTATCTATGTATCTATCTATCTTGCTTCACTGAGATCAAACTCATGGCCTCATGCTAGGCAAGGCCTCTCCTGCTGAGCTACATTTGAAATCCAGTGCCCCTCTTTTAATAGCTACTCAATAAAGCATATCAAATGAATGTACAAATGAAGAAGTTGAGAAATCCAGAACAATAAATCACAAGCTGCAGGCAAGTTTTCTTTCCAGTGCTCAGGACAGGTAAAATGGATTACAATTGGTTGACATCTATGAAAAGCTGACAGAGATGTAAGAGGTCCCACCCTGAGGCCAACAAAGACTACAAAGCTGACAGCCACTGAATTCAGTTCATTATTATCTGTCAAGAGTTTCAGTATCTGTCCCCCTCAGTGCACCAAGTCAACAAGCTGAGGAGTATCTTCAGGGTGAACTCTATTGCCCCTTTCTGCTAACACTATAAGTGAGGCAAACCTATATATACATTTGGCGGGGGAGGGGGAGGGCAGGCTAGACAGCCTTGATGCTGTCCATGAGCCTCTTTGTGCTCAAGGCTAGCATTCTACCACTTGAGCCACAATGCCACTCTGGTTTTTTCTGAGTGGTTTATTGGAGATAAGAGTCTCTCAGACTTTTCTGCCCAGGCTGTCTTCGAACCATGATCCTCCTGAGTAGCTAGGATTACAGGTATGAGACTCTAGCACATCTTTAAAATCTGTAGACAATGTCAATAATCAGCTGAATTGACTACCAGTGACTGGCTTGGCTTCTGGCCCCATGCCAGCCCCCTGTAGCTGGGCAAGCAATCTGTTAGCCATTTTTATCAGCCTTAGCTGTGACAACTATGAAGAATACAAGGAAAGCTGGCCATCAACAGACCTGGGGAATGTGCCTGAGTGTTCATCCTTAAGCCCATGACTGGTTCTTGGAGGGAAATAAGTGTTCAATGGTAGGCCTGCAGGAAGCCCACTCCATGGAATAAGTCTATAAAACCCAGTGTACCCACATCAGACCCTCTGGGGGAGTAAATAAAGCCTACTGAGGTGACCCTGGATACCTGCTGCATCCCAGAGCCATTTCCTGGTTCTATCAGTAAGCTCTCAAAGGACCCTTCTTGGTTTCAGGAGGCCCTGTGCTATGCTGGCACATATACAAGGGGAATCCTGGAATGAGAGACTCAGATCTAGACCAGACCTTGCAGAGATCTTAGTCCAGCTTTTCTATTTGTGTGGAGATAGCCAAGGACCAAGAGGCATAGAGAGGACTTAGAGAAACAGATGGTTGAAAATGCCAGCCCTGGTTTTATCAAGCAGGTCAGTTATTATCTGTGTTGATATGGAGTTTCATGTATATTCTAATTTAAAGACCAAATGAAATAAAGACATTTGAAAACAATTTGAATTTCTCCAACCATTCAGACTATAAAATAGGAAATAGATGCCCAGGACAGTGTCCATTAACAACTGGTTGTGAGAAGCAGAAAGAAGCCAGACAAAGTCAGAGCCCTTGTCTTTCCTGCCTTTGGTGAGTGAGTGTACTGCCAGAGTACACTGTTTTGTCTCACCTGGGCATGGGAAAGCCCTCTGACTTGAAAGCCACCAGAAGAAACACAGATATGCATACTTGATCTTAGCACTCTGTCTTCTTGATGAAGACAGATACTTCTTGTTTGGAAAACTGATTAAGATGTTCAACAGCTACATCATGTGGTCATTTGTGGTTGCTATTTTACTACCAGACATAATTGGAGTCCATATAGTTCTTTGTGTATTATACAAACCCATCCAGAGTCAGATCAACAGAATAAAAATTTTATGATAGAGCTGAGTGCTGGTGGCTCACGCCTATACTCCTAGGTACTCAGGAGGCTGAGATAGAAGGATCAATGTTCAAAGCCAACCCAGGCAGGAAAGTCTATGAGACTCCTATCTCCACTAAACTACCTAAAAATCAGAAGTGTAGGTATGGCTCAAGGGGTGGAGCACTAACCTTGAACAAAAGAAGCTCAAGGATAGTACCTAGGTCCTGAGTTCAAGCCCTAAGACTGGGAAAAAAAATTATAGAGATCAAGAATTTGGCAGCCTCTGCCTCTTTTCACCATCCTAAAGTCCTATGATCCTATACCTGTCATCACTATTTATGAGTACCTATTTCTATTGTTACCAAGTCCTATGTTCTAAGTACTTTATAAAAGTACTGAATATAAAATCCCACTTAATCTTTACATTAGTATTATAATCTCCAGTCTAAGATCCCCATTATTACAGGTGAGATAAACCAAGACTCTAAGAAGACAGGTAGACTCATGCTACCATTGCAGAATCAGAGATCTAACTCAAGTTCTGAACATTGTGCCCCTGCCACCAATTCAAGTTCAATCCCAGAAAAATAAAACACTAGAATGTTTAAACCACTGAAATTTGCAGCAGCATCAATTTATTCTTTACTATATAGATTTCTTTTTCTTACTGAACTGCCTAAATTTTGGCATAAAAATATTTTTATACCAAGCCAACACATTCATATAGCATTTAAAATTGTTCTTGCATTCTCTAGAAATTAGGTATTTGCTTAGTTTCATTCAGTCAAGCAACTCCATCCTGTCTCTAAGTGGACCTCCTCAGAAGGAATGCAACCAGAGCACTATTTAGTCTGTAATTGCTGCTACAGGCTGATGATGCCCTGGTGGCCTCTAGAATTGAATACAGCTTCCAAAAGTGCCCAGCATGCAAACAGAAAGTGCTGTGGCTCCTAGGAGAGCCTTGCTCAATAGAAATCACTGAAAGTCTTTATCTTTAGTAACACACTTATGCAACTATGCAACATTCTTCAATTTCTGTTTTGTACAATATTTTATACACTGAATTTATAATGTGTGTGATCTCATGTGAGCAATGGATGTTTTCTGATCCTTCCTGATGGAAGAGTCATGAGGAAGAAGGAATGTATTTATGCTTTTAATTGAACAAGTTCCATTTTGAAGGAGAAACTTAGGCTATAACCATGCATACACATTGGGGAAAGACAGTAGGAATCTACAATGAGTTGTTATTGAAACCCCCTCTCCAAGTTCTTTTTTCCATATATATTTTTATTGTAAAAATACTGTACAGAAGACTTACAGTTACATGAGTAGGGTAATGAGTACATTTCCTGTCAAACATTGTTACCTCCTCCTTTGTTCTTCCCCTATCATCCCTTCCCTCTCCACCTCCCCCACTTCTCCCTCCCCACCCCCAAAATTGTAAAGTTCATTTTCAACATAGTGTCTTGTACATCTCATTGCTACAATGGGTCAGCCTATAACCTTATTTAAACATTTTGTTATATCCCTTCCCCTCCCCAAATTATAAAAATGTATATACAAGATGCAGGACACCGGAATCAGATACAGTGAAAACAGGAGTTATACTGTGGGGGAAGAACATACAAAAGAATCACATAGTGCATTATAAGTACATTAAAAACAATAGCAAGCAAGAAAAAAAACACTTGTGTCCCTGTCTTGAGGTTCATTTCACTTAACATCATCTTTTATGATTATATGTACATAGCTTTTGACCTTTTTTGCTTGTCCTGGACATGTACTAGTTATTGCAAATAAGGGAAACCATGGGACATATGTTTCTTTTGGCCTGGTTACTTCACTTAATATAATTTTTCCCAAGTTTTTCCATTTCCTAATGAATCTCCCCAAGTTCTTGATAAGAGTTTTTCAAATAAAATTAACCCCAACTATCTTCCAAGCTAACCTGAATGCTTCTATTTGCTTGAATATTATATATATATATGTATATATACACATATATGTATATGTGTGTATATGTAGAGAGAGAGAGAGAGAGAGATGAAACCCACCTGTTCTGTGGAACAGAACACCCATGTCAGCATTTTGAAGTTCCTATTTCAATAGACAAAGCTTGAACATCACAGTCTGAGGTTTAGACACTCAGTGTATGATACATACATAATCTTACAGGTCTAAGCCATACAGATGCTGGGGAAACTTGGTAAGAATGACAAAGGGAAGGCCCAAAAGTCAGCTTTTTGCAAATGTAAGAAGTTATCCTTGCCATCAGGTTAGAAGTTGACAGCAGAAACAATCAAATCTGAATCCTAGCTCCATTCCAGAGTGGAGGGGCATGAGTGTCTTCACTCCTTGAACCTGCATTTATGATCTGGAAAGAATAAATTAACAGTACAATGAAGGACTCCAGCCTATGGGTTGCCTGTTTTGGCCCTTAGCTGTGTCCTATACTCTAGAACTAAGCCATATGAAAAGCTGAGGAAGGAGACCAGCATCCATCCAAGACTCTATATCATACCTGGCCTCCCATTTGACCTTGAATTGTAGAACCTGAAAGGAGAAGCCCTAAGCCAACAACAGAACAGTAAGAGAATCCAAATGTATGAGTCACGCCAAGTAGAGCTCAGGCTGAAAAGGATGGGGGCAAAGAGCAATGGAAACTTTCCTGGGGAAATTACCACCACCAAGTCCAAAGATGGGTCATAGGCTCTGTAGGAAGGCTAGCTTGCCCAGGTGCCTCTGTCCTGTTGACTTTTCTTTATTCCCCAGGGCCTCTACCCACTGCCCTTGCTCAACAGTGCCCTGGATGATGGGAAGGCTACTCTGACTCCCTCCAATACACCCTTGGGGCGCAACCTCTCAACACACCAGACCTACCCTGTGGTGGCAGGTAGGATTCCTGGGCCAACTGGACCCAGCTATGAAAAGTGGGCTGGAAAGGAGGGGAAGGCAAAGGTGGCTGGCTGGCAGAAGGAAGGTGACAGGTGCTTGCCTGGAGAAGAGTGGCGGGTTATGCTGTCTGGGCCTCAGAGTGAGGCAAAGGGGTTGGCCTTGGCCTCTTGGGTTCGGTCCTTCGGGTACACACGTTTCTCAGTCTACACTGGTGGCAGAAGGCACCTGACAGGGAGGTAGAGCATCGGGCTCCCACCTCATTCACCCTGAGGAACACCACGCAACCCTGGCTACTCCCCACTCTACCCCATCCCAGACCCAGACTCCAAGAGCAGCCAGGCCTCCCTACTCCCAAGCCACCGCTCAATCCCTCCCACATCTCATGGCTTGATTTGTGCATGTTCCCGCCCCATCATCTCACACCCCTCTCTCCTTGTTGTCTCCCTCCCTCCAGCAGATCCTCATTCACCCTTCGCCATAAAGCAGGAAACCCCGGAGCTATCCAGTTCTAGCTCCACCCCTTCCTCTTTATCTAGCTCCGCCTTTTTGGATCTGCAGCAAGTCGGCTGTGGGGGCCCAGCCGGGGCCTCGGTCCCGCCCTTCAATGCATTTCCCCATGCTGCCTCCGTGTACGGGCAGTTCACGGGCCAGGCCCTCCTCTCAGGTATGACTGGGAGGTCCCTCAAGGATTCTCAGGTATTGCAAGGGGAGGGAGGGAGGTCATCAGGGTCAGCCAAAGTCCCTTGGTTTGGGTCGAGCCTGGCTTTGGTCCCAAACTTGCCCAGCATCATACTATTCCCTAACTCCTCCAGGACTTTTTGGAGCTGCCAATGCCAAAGGGTAGTTCTCCATGTTGAGAAAGACAGGTGGCAACGGAAAGTGAGGTTTATTACTACATGAAATGACAGGTATCCTAAGGTAAGGAACCAAGAGAGAATGCCAACTAGATGTCTCTTCCTTTGAGAACTGTCTCCAAAGATGCAGGTTTCTAGTGCCAAAGGGTATTCTCCCTGTCTATTGCTCCCCAACCCAACCATCTTGAGATACTGGAGCAAAGACCAGGGGAAGGTGGAGCAGGAAGAACTGGTACAGAGACAACCCACAGTCACAAGGCACCTTGAAGTGAAAGTGTTTACAGAAGCCAGGTAACCCAGTGAAGAGCTACTCTCTTTGAGGTAGAGAACCCTGCCCCCAGAAAACTCTGGGACTTGAACCAGGAAAACAGAACTAGGAAAACACCATCTTGCCAGCCCAGAAGGACCACAGGTCCTTTGATTCAAGGTCATAGGTCCATTCTTAAAACTGACTGCAATTCCTGTGTAGCATCTGGGATTTTTAAAAAATGTCATATGCATACCTGCATCTATGCAGGAAGTATTATGATGAAGATGGACACCCAGTGTGGGGGGCAGAGAGGCAGTGTTTAAGGATCTGAGACAAGGTAGGGGAAGTTGACTCAGAAATTGAAATCTCAACAGTATAAAGTCAGCAGCAGAGTTATTTTGACCAAAGTGATTAAAAGAGAAAAACCTGTAAAGAAAATGGGATGCAGGGCTGGGGAGGTGGCTCAGTGGTAGAGCGCTTGCCTTGCATGCATGAGACCCTGGGTTCTATTCCTCAGCACCATATAAGCAAAAAGAAAAAAAAGCTGGAAGTGGCGCTGTGGCTCAAGTGATAGAGTGCTAGCCTTGAGCTGAAGAGCTGAGGGACAGCGCCCAGGCCAAGAGTTCAAGCCCCACGACCAGACCCAAAAAAATGGGATGCAGAGAGGGAAGGGCAATGCCTGCTGGGAAGGACAGCTTGGATTGTGGGGCATACTTGTGTGTCTTGTGGAAATGGTCTGGGCCCTGAGGTGAACCAAGTCAGAGGTGAACGTTTGGATGAAGCACATGATGTCAAAAGCAGTTTTTAAATTAGTGTGTAGACTGAGAAAGAGGACAGATAGCAGCTGGGAACTGGGAGGTAGATCAGAACAACAGACAGGGTCTATGACATAAAGTTCTATTGAAACAGTCCAGGCAAACTCTGACCCTGAGGCCCAAATTTCTCACTATCATCCTTTTAAGGCTGCAGGATTCCCTGTCAACATGCAATCAATCAGAGTTAATGTATCCAATATCTTATCAGCTGTTAATTTAGTGAACATGCTCGTTCTGCAAGGCAGCTGCAGGATTGGGAGGTCATCCAACCTATAAGACAAAGCAACTAGCAGTAGATACCAGGTAGTCATCCAGACATCAAGCAGCCAAATATACAGCATCAGCAAGTTCTCAGCCATATGACCCCAAATCAGGCCTCTAGAATGCTAAAGGGTAGGTTGAAGCAACCATGTAGACTAGCCACAGCATTGGAGATTCAGCATAGAGGCCAGGAGGCTGAGTACCCTGGAATAGAGAGAGTAGGGTCCAGATAAGTATCCAGCAAGCAAGCCAAAGCTATAGTTCACAGCCAAGCCTAGTTCTCTAGCTCAAGGCTGATGATAGCTAGTGTCCATGATGAGTTCAGGACATCAGCCCTAGAGCTCCTTCCAGACTGGCCACCTGCCTGATACCATTGATCAAGATTGAACGTAACTACTTAGTATATAGCTAAGCTCTGGTGGGAGGGCTAGGAGGAAATGCTAGGATGAGGAAAACTAGGAAGGGAATGAGCTCAAGAGCCTGGGGGCTATAAATCCACCTATATAAGGGAGAGAATTACATTTGAAATAAGAGAAAGGAAGCAGAGACAAAATTATTCTGGGAAAATGTTGCAATCAAGGGGAAAGGAAGAAGGATCCTGGTTAGTTTTATTTCATAATTAGTTCTAACCTATATGAACCTTTCTAGCTCTTCTCTGCTGTGTGACCCCATCAAAACCTTCCTCCCATACCCTGAAACCCCTTTAACCTGCTTCCTATTTCTATGTCATTTTTCTTAGTTCAGTTGAGTAACTGACTTTCTGAGGCTCAATTTATCCCAGTCAGTCAAGAAAGTGGAAACCATAGAGTTTGAGGAATAGTGAAATTCACCTAAGATTGCTGACAGTCCCCTTCAGATATTCCAAGGCAGATTCCCATACATGGGTCACAACTGTGACATCAAGGCTGGCCTTTTTCTGGCTGCTACAAGATTGACTCCAACTCAGGTCATCAGAAAGTTTGGAGAAAGTTAGGTTTTATCATCAAAGAGTCTAGTATCCTCCTCCATTCTTTTGTACAAATTATATTTAGGCATGTCAAAGAGATTTCTGGGTTGCCATAAATTCTCCTTGCTAAGATAAGAATTGAAAAATGGCTACATAGAGGGCAGACATCAAAGGGGACAGATGAAATAGTCTGAAACACCTCTACCCTCTGAATTCCTCTAGCTAATGGCTTTCTGGTCCTGATCTCTACCATTTAGAATATTTGCCAATAGATCTGGGTGCTTTAGTTTTCTTAGGGAATCCTACTTCACAACCTATTAACTTGGTCCTAGGCCTCAGTTAACTTCTTTTAAAAATGCCTACACAGGAAATGTCTATGAATACAGAGGAGATGGAATTACCCCAGCAAGGGTAAATTCATGATAAAGAGCTTCAATAAACTAAGAAGTAGGACTTTTAGACCATGATGATGTATCTCCAACCCACATCTTCTATAGTCTTGTTTCCAAGAAAGGTACAAGTCTCTTGGCTTTCTGGGGGAAAAAAACACATTTTTTCAGTGCTAGGGTTAGCTGGACAAGTATGCTACCACCAACTTTAGCCCAATAAATCATTTTTTTAAGGAATTGGAGTAGAGAGTCTTAAGACAGCTATGGTAGCAGTTTAGGTGAGAGCTATCATGGAGAAAACTCTACTAGTAGTTTTTAATAGGAAAACCAGGTATTTTTATTTATTTGTTTCTTTTTTGTTTTTGTTTGTTTGTTTGTTTTTGTACCAGTCCTGGGGCTTGCACTCAGAGACTGGGTACTGTCTCTGAGCTTTTTTGCTCAAAGATAGCACTCTAGCCTCAGCTCTACTTTTGGATTTTTGGTGATTAATTTGAGCTAAGAGTCTCATGGGCTTTCCTGACTGACTTCAAACTGTGATCTTCAGATCTGGGCCTTCTAAGTATCTAGGTTTACAGGTATGAGCCACTGGTGCCTGGCAGGACAAGGTTTTATAAAGAGAAATATTTAGGATTTTTCTCCAGTCATTTGATTCAGAAATTTACCCTGCTTTGAGAAAATCACATCGTTGATACCAGAATATAAGGAGAGAAGACCAATGATTTCCATTTGTAAGAACAATGTTGGGATTGAAGCACATGGGGTAGGATCCCAGTGGATACCATAGATTACATTGTGGCCTAAAATGAGTACGTGTTCTGGAACTCTGCCTACTAAGCAACATAGCTCAGGAAGCTGCAGGATCAGGTGATGGAAAGTGACAGGATGAGGACAGGAGGGAGAGGAGAGTGGCTGCCAGCGCTGAAGGAGCCCAGGAACATACTAGACCAGCACTAGCAAGTGACTGTCTTGAGAACCAAGACTCATCTCCCATCACCCTTCCCCTAATCACAAGAGATACAGAGACTGCCTCTGAATCCTTCTCAATACAAGGAAGCCTCTACCAAAGAAAGTAATATGAACCCAAATTACAGGTTCTCATCCTAAATCTCCTCCTGTGTCATGGAGAAATTCAGTGATTTGTCTTCCATAATCTGGCCTGATCTAGAGTTCCTCCTCTCCCCTGTCCCCTAGAAGTAGAAGGAAAGAAGAAAAAAGAAACTATTAGATCTGAGTCACTGTTCTCTTTCACCTCTCCCTGCCATGGCATCCATCCACCCCCTGTACCCTGAATTCCTGTTCTTAGAAACTTCAGATCACTCCTTCCCTCTCTTGACTGGCCAGGTGATTCATCTAGGATCAAGGGGACTGAGTTTGAGAGCTGAACACAGTATGGTCTTCTTCACATGTTCAGTAGTTACTGTGGTCTATCTTCTTTCTAATTCTCCCTCTCCCTCTAAATATATCAAAATTCTCTCTTCCATATTTATGTTTTCATGCCTTTCTGGGTTTTCCTGATGATCCTGTGTTATGTGAACAGAAGTGTAGAATTTCAATGGGTTCTATCCTGTTTGGTGCAGTACCAACTATGCCTGGAACCTTCAGTAGAAATCAAATAGAAGGTGGTGTTCAGATGTTTCAAAACTCCATACCATTTAAAATAAGAACACTGAAAACTCATTCTAAAGAGGATTTATTCTGTAAGGGCTCCACTAACATAATCAGTTCTAAAATGTATCCATTGCATTAATCAATGTATATCTGAAGCATGAAACTCTGGGTTTGAATCATGCTGATAACCTCAGAGTAATAATAAGGTATGTAAGGTACTCTCATTCTCACCCCCCACCTATCATTTTGCATGTGAAGAAATGGTACATAAGTGGATAGTCAAAGGGTACACAGAAAATGAACATCTCTATGGCTATATCTCCCTGGACTCACCTGATCTTGGAAGCTAAGCCAGATTGTGCATAGTTAGTATTTAGATGGAAGAAAGTTAGAAAGTTAGCCAGAAAAGCAGGATGAAGACCACAGATCCTCTAATTCCTATACTCTTTCTGAGAGGGGGGGGGGAAGGAAGTCGAAGAAGAGGAGGAAGAGGAGGAGGAGGAGGAGGAAAGGAGAAAACTGAAGAGACAGGTCTTTTATTGATCCCTTATCTCAGCTCCAAATGCCCTTCCCAGTCTATGCTTCATCACTTAATGCTTGGCCTAGATAGTTAGCACTTTTGTTGTCTGATGTATCCCTGAGTGCTTAGGAAAATGCACTATACATACTAGAAAAATACTTTGTACAATAAGTATTCGTTGAATGAAATAATTGTGCTGGAGAAACTACAGGAAGAGAAGCATTTTAACATTAACAACTTGTAGAGTTTCATGGGCTATACCTTCCCATCCATCATTACTGGGTACCTTCAAGGCCATGAGGTATGAAGGAGAGAATATATAGAGGGGTGGTGGATGGGAGAAAAGTGGGATGAGAAGTATCACAGAGACGGTGGCTATGGTAAGTTGATGTACTAGGCTTACAGGCAACCTATTAGTCCTAAGGGAAAAACCAGCCCCATGAAGGTGGCAGAGGTCATAATCTCAAAGAATGGTCCTTAGCTCCCACTCCCACTGAGGACATATGACAATGTCTGGAATCTAGTGGGTAGAGCTGCTCAGCATCCTGAAATTCACATGATGGTCCCGCAGCAATTAACTAGCCTAAAATGTCAATATTATTCAGATTGAGAAACTGTGTGGGCATCAGCAAGAACTAGGATGATGAAATAGCACATCATTTAAGCTGGAGCTTTTTGAGAGAAATATGACCATTATTTTATTATTAATATTTTGCCAGTATCAGAGTATGAACTCGGGGCCTTGTACTTGCTTAGCTTTCTTGTTCAGCAGACACTCTACTACTTGAGCCATTCCACCAGCTCTGCTTTTTGATGATTATGTTAGAGACAGAATCTCTGATTTTTCTGCCTAAGCTGACCTCAAACCTCAATCTTTCAGATCTAGGTCACTTGAACAGCTAGAATTACAGGCATGAGCCACTGGTACCTGGTCAAAAATAATTATTATTAATAAGCATGCTGGGACAGTTGTCACCTATTGGACAGACCTAGACAAACTAAAATCCTTAAGTGAAGCAGATTCTGGTCTGTATCCACAGAAAATAGAGATGATGAAAGAAAACATACCAGGGGTCCTGGCAGTTGGGCAGGAAGTACATGGGGAGAGGATAATCAGGTCAGGTTGGTATCCTAAATGGAGACTTTAGGCTTTCTCTTCCTGATGTGAACACATACAGCCAAGAAGATGGGGTTTAATTTCTAGAACTGCCTTGGTATCTCCAAATGTGGGTATGGCTCAAAATTATAGACAAAGGGAGATCAGTGTTTTGCTGCAAAAAAAAAAAGTTTAGAAATGTGTTTGAGACTGGGCACCAGTGGCTTATGTCTATAAACCTAGCTGCTTAGAAAACTGAGATTTGAGGATTTAGGTTCAAAGCCAGCCCAAGTACCAAAATCTAAGAGACTCTTATTTCCAATTAACCAGCCAAAAGATGGAACTAGAGGCACTGCTCAAGTGGCAGAGTGCCAGCTGTAAGTGCAAAAGCTAAATGAGAATGTGAAGTCTTGAGTTCAAGTCTCAGTACTGGCAAAAAAGAAAACAAAACAAGAAATAATGTATCTGACAGATATATAGTTCATAGTCATGTGAAAGCTACATATCTCTCATCCTTTTAGGTCAGGGACAGCCAATAGGTTTCATATCACTTGTATCTCTGATAAATTATATCCACCTAGAAGATATAGAAACCCCCTCACTGGCCCAGTGGAAAATGGTATGATGGTTGAATCAGTATCTATTCCAGGACCAAAAAAGGGAAGTAATAAGCCAGAGGGCCACACATCTGTCATCTGTTTCCAGGATCTGATTCTTGGTTCTCTTAGAACTCGTACTCTCTGAGGAAAGAGATGCTTTGAGTCAAGTGGCTTCTGGTTATTTTAGGCCATTGATGCCTATCACTATGCTGGGCAAGGGAACCAAGATTCAAAACACATATTTATGTAAATAAAACCACTAGAGACCAGAAAATAAAAGAGGACTGCACTAATAGCACTGAGAGCCCTTCTAGAGGAGACAAGGATTTGGAGAATGGGCTTGGAGGGCTTGGGAATGGCTGAAAGATTTGCTAAAGCTCGTTGAGTGAGAAGATAAGCATGGGAACCCCCTACACTGATAACTCTGTTGTATTTTTCCAGGGCGAGAGATGGTGGGGCCCACGCTACCCGGATACCCACCCCACATCCCCACCAGTGGACAGGGCAGCTATGCCTCTTCTGCCATTGCAGGCATGGTGGCAGGTAAGAGGAGGGATTGGCAGGAGAAGGAACATTATGAAAGGAAGCGTTGAAAGAAGGGGTTGGGCAAGAGAGGAAAGAGATAGGTTGAGACCTGTTCATAGGCCCAATTCATAGCTTCAATTCAAGGGCATCAAATAATGGACCAAAGAAATACTTTCTTGCAAACACCATGCGAAAATGCCCCAGTACCATTTTGGCTCTTTAACTTGCATCAGCTCAGCCTCCTTCCAAGATCATCCATATTATCCACCATGATGAAAAGGATGGGCTGGGGCAGACCTGGGTTCAATTCCAAGCTTTTACTTCTTTCTACTTTTTTCACTGACTTAGTGAATACTAATGGAGTATGTGGAGGGACTGGTCAAATAGATGAGCCATAGGTGAGACTGGTCCTCATGCAGTTGATTTAACTGATTTAACTGATGAATCTCAGTTAACCCCATCTGTAAGATCTGAATACAATGACTGACATTCTCTTTTGCATCCTCTACTCTTGCAATTCTGCATGAGATGGTTCAGGTTCTAGGTACTGAGGGTACCATAGAGTATGAATATCTCTCTATCCTCATTTGAATTGTCTGGAGCCCTACCTACCAGTCATTTGGTTTTCTTTGTCTGTAATTATCACCCAATGGTAACCTAGGAGGACAAGTTCTGGACAAATGAAGAGGATGGTGGTAGTTTCTTTGCTAAAGTCTCTTTTAGAAGCCAGATTGGAAAAACACTGGGATAGATAGAGTAGATCTTACACATTTCCACTTCACAGATAGGCCCGGGAGTGGTCTGGAGCTCACAGAAGAGGCTCTAATCTCAGGGTATGTTTGACCCCTGTGCAACCCAGGAAACAGTCTCCCTGGCTCTGGCCTAGAAACTTGTACATTCACCCAAGCCTGCTTCCCTTGGCAGGGGTTAATGTTTGCCAGCCACCCACTCTGGGTACCCTGTGCAGAGGCAGGTGGGCTGGGCTCTCCTGGGCAGAAGGAAGGGAGGGAGAGAGAATGAGGGAAGGAGGCTCTGCTCCCTGGGAACCTGCTGAGCTGGCACTTGTTGCTGCACGTTACCGTGGCAATGTGCTTAATGCAGCGTTGAAAATACAGAATACTGACTCCTCTCTCCCTCCTGGCCCCGGACTGCCTCCCTCCCTCCTTCCTCTTCTGGAGCGTGAAATGAGATTGGTCAAGATAAAAAAGGAAAAGATTCGGTTATTTTTTTAAGAGTGTGGATAATGGGGCCTCTCAATCAAAATCCCAAGCTTCAGTCTCCCCCCCCTCCCCTTCTAGTCCTTCTACCTTCCCCTGCTGCCTGCTTAGAGGAGGAGGAAGAAACATAAAGGCAAGGCTTTTCTCTTAATTATGAATCATTCCTTGAGGGCAGGCCCAGGGCAAGGGGTTCCTGAGGCCAAAAGTTGACCTGTGAGGTAGCTGAAAGGCATGGGCCTCTCATCAAAGGCCCCCAGGTTGTTTCCAGAAAGGCCTAAGCCAGAGCGACTGCAATGAAGAAACACACATACACAACTACCACACAGACTGTAAGTGGACTGCAAAAGAGAGGGGTCTTGTCTTACATAGAAGATAGCTTTCCAGTAAGTTTTCATAAGATGCAGTTCTATTCACCTGGCTCCTAGGAAAGCCTTTGTGCAAATGAATTCCTGCAGATTGTTTTTGCAGGAAAATTCTATGTCCATCTCTTACCATCCTATGGTATCCCAGTTGATAGAATGAGGACTTCCTCAATTGAAGTCAATAAATTCAAGGAGCACCAACTGCATACCTGTAGGTACATAATAATGCTTAAAGTTAGTCATATCAATGACATTCTCCAATTAATTATGGAAAGGAAGAGGTGATCATTTATTATGCCCTTTGCATGCCTGGCCTTTCATACATACTTTAGTTCCCACTTAATCCTTATCATAAGATTGGGGAAGGGTTGATGATAACTAGTTTCACAAAAAAAAAAAATAACTGGGGCTAGAAAAGTAAAATGGTATACTCAAGGTCATAACAATACTAAGTGGCAGAGGGATTCAAACACAAGCCCTTCAATTTCAAATCTGGGGATGTTTCTGCTTCACCACACTGCCCTCCCTACCCCTGATTATATCAGAAATAAAGATGCAAGTTTTGGGTAAATAGACCAAAAAGGGCCAGAACACAGTCTCTTGTCTGTTCATTCTTTGTGCCTTCAATCTCTGTCCCTCTGTTTCTGACTCTGTTTCTATCTCTGTCTCACTTTCTCCCCTACTTCTTCCTTCCCTGTCTTCTCTCCTCTACCCTTCACTCTCTTTCCCTTCCTACCTCTCCCCTTCTATTCCCTTCCTTCCCTTTCCCTCACCTCTCTTCCCCTCTCTTTTCTCCTTCTCTCTAATTCTGGCCTCCCTAATGCAGTTAACAACTCATAGCAATGCAAAACCATAATCACAGTTCCAAAGACAAGGATCCAACCAAGCATCTATCCATCCTTCTATCTACTTTTTTTTGTGTGTGTCCTGGGGTTTGACACTGCCAACATTTGCACTTGCTAGACAGGTACTTTTTCAGTAGAGTAATGGCCCTAGTCCTTTTTGCTTTCATTACTTATTGAATAGGGGCTCACTTTTGTTTAGGTTGGCCTGGTTTAGTTTTCTTACATTTCTGGACTGACAGGTACATGCCATTGTGCCCACTATGGTTGAGCTAATAATATTCCTTAACCTTTTGTCTATGCTAGCCTATGCTAACCTTTTGTCTAGCCTCAAAGTGGAAACCTCCTGATTTCTCAACCTCCTGAGTAGTTAGGATTGCAGGCATGGGCCACTACACTTGGCCTTCTATTCTATTCTGTTTTTAACCCATCTTTTCCATCTGTCTTTCTTTCTGCATGTTTATCCACCCACCTATTCTTCCCTCTCCCCTTCTATCCACCTTTCTATCCATCTTTCCATCCATCTATTCTTCTATCAATCTGCTGATTTTTTTTGGGGGGGGTCCGGTCTTGGGGCCTGAACTCTGGGCCTGGGCACTATCCCTCAGCTCTTCAGCTCAAGGCTAGTACTCTACCACTTGAGCCACAGTGCCACTTCTGGCTTTTTTTCTTTTTGCTTATGTGGTGCTGAGGAATCGAACCCAGGGTCTCATGCATGCAAGGCAAGCGCTCTACCACTGAGCCACCTTCCCAGCCACATCTGCTGATTTTCCATATATCTATCACTTCTCCTACTCATCTTTCTGACCACCTGTCTTTAATCCACATTGTATCCATCCTTATACCCTTATATCTATTTGCCACTTTTTCCTTAACACATACTAGTAAGGATCTAGTAAGGATCTGGTGGCACAGTGTATATAAGGTATGTTCCTCTTATTTACTATCTACTATTAGAAATAAATGGACAATGAACAATTTAATAAATGGGTAAGTGTAATATCAGATTGTGATAAGTATGAGAAGACAATAAAATGTGATTATGCAATAAAGAGCCACAGGGAGAAGAGATAAATGCTTTAGATTGAGTGATAAGGGAAGGTCTTTCTAATAAGTTGTTCAAAGTGGTCAGCCAAGTGATAAACTGGTGCTGACCATCCCTGGCCCAAAAGAACAACAAGTGCAAAGGCCCTAAGGCAGGAAGGAACTAATTTAGTATGATAGCACACTGAATGGAGGTGAATATTTTTGAAGAATAGAGAACAGTTGAGGAAAGGACTACAAAGTAAGATTTTGGTAGAAGCAAGGTCAACTGTTAAAATGCCACTTAGGCTTCTGAGAAAATGGATTACAGACCACCAACAGAAAGCACAGGTACCAAATAGATGATACAGTAATTCTTCCAGGAGATGCTGGTGGCACAGACTATAGAAGTAGCAATGAAGGAGGAGAAGAAAGACACTGATGAAATGTTTGGGTGGTAGATCCACAGATTTATCACAAATTTATCTGCTGATAAATTTGCTATATTGGTGAAGAGAAAATAGATGAATTGTGTTATTACTCATAGTATTGAGGCTTAAGAAAGTCGATAGACAATAAGTATACATGTGGGAGAATAGGAGAAAAAGAGTTGTAGTACATCGTAGGTCAAAATCAAGTTCTATTAGGCCATGTTAGGATATAAATACCTACTAAACTCCCATCTTACAATGTCAGTAGGCACATGATACTTCTGAAGTCAGCAAAGGACCCTGGCTAGAGTATAAGTTCCCACTATGGTACAAAGTTAATATTCATCGCCAAAGGATTAGACAAAGGAGGATATGAATGGGAATTCATAGAAAGCCTTCAAAGCAAGAGTTCTAGCATAAAAATAAACCAGCAGAGGACCCATCAAATTATGAAGCAAACTGCAAGTTGGCCTCCAGAATCATAGAGGAATAAGACTAAGAGAGCTAAGAAGTGAGAGAACTGTGGACACAAAGGTGACCATTGGAATGATCATATTAGAGATCATGGGGATTTGGTCGACATTGGTGTGATTAGAAGAAGATGGAAGATGAAGGCAGACCATGGGACAAAGAAAGAAAAAGGTAGCTAGAGAATGTGGAGTTTGGAAGGGGATTTTTAAGAATAGAAGAATTTGAAGGGCTTAATGAGTTAGAAAGCAATAGACTATTGAAACAGAAAGAGTGGATAATTGTAAGGGCTACCTGGAAAGGTGAGTGGGTAGAATTGGCCTTCCATAGGCCTAAGGACATTCCATGCTCTACGCTGTACAGAGATTGGTAGATTTGGTGGTAAGGAGATGCCACACCTAAGGGTATATACTGCCTTCAAGCCCCATTCCCTACTGTAGACTTTCATGTGGTTGAGGCAGTCAGGTATGCAATTTGTGCTGAATAAATGTATAGATGAAAGAATATATGAATAGTGACAAAGTGAGAGAGCAAACACATTGTATTTTCTATCTCTCTTCCTTGTCCTTTAAACTTGTGTTCAGTGTTAGGTAGGGTCAAATAAAAGTTCATTGCCATATAGCTAATGCAGAACTAGCCTTCTCCCAAGGATCACTGCAATGGGAGTGGAGTAAATCAGTTGTAAACAGTGGCTGTTTCCTCTGTGGGTTTTGAGCAAGTCCTGGTGTTGGACATGGGAGTCAGTTTCTAGTTCAAGCTCTAACTAAAAATATGGCCTTGGGCAAAAATCTTCCTTCTCTGCACAGCAGTTTGTTCATTTCAGTGAATGGCTGAATTAGATCATTTCTTAGATTTTTTTCTGTTTCCTCTTTGTTTTTTGCCCTCCCTTTCCCCCTCCCTTTCTTGTCTTCATACTTTGCCCTTCTGTGCTTGGCTTAGTCCCTTCCCCTAGGGAACTTACTGGTTTCTCACTGTGATTTGCTGCCTATTTTGGACTGCCTAGATTCAAAGGATCTAGTAGCCTTTCTCTGCCTCAAGCTCTATCAAATGCCTATGTCTTTGCAAGAAATAAACCCCAACTGGTGGCATGAGTTATTGAGCCTCAATTGAACTTTAACGCTTGTTTCATGAGAAAATAATAACAATTAAATATTTATTAAATGCTATTTATATTCTAAGCATGGGGCTAAACATTTCGTATATATTATCTCAGTAATTGTCACTGCATGAGATAGGAACAGTAATCAGCCCCATTTGACAGACACAAACAAAAGCTCAGAGAGGCTCAGTGACTTATCCAAATTTACCCAACCAGGAGGTAGGATATGGGGATTTTACTTCAGATTAGTTGGCTGCAGAGCCAGAGAGTTTCAAACTTTACTTCCAAAGAGTCTATGGAAGAGACAAGGAGCTTAAGAAAGTACTTAGCTCACATTTTTTTTTATTTGTGAACATACTGTACAGAGGGGTTACAATTACATGGGCAGGATAATGCATACATTTCTTACCAAGCATTGCAGCCTCCTCCTTTGTTTACCCTTCACATCCCTTCCCAGCCTCCCCCCTCCCCCCCCATCCATTCTTCCCCCCACCCCCACCCCCGCACCAACGTTGTAAAGCTCGTTTTTGACATGACAACTTGTACTTCTCATTGTTGCAACAGGTCCACCTGAATCCTTAAACGACTTGTTTAGTTTTTCAAAGACTATGTGGATACTCATTGGCTTTCAAAAGTGGCAGGAACCTGGCTTTGTAAATGAAATTATTGAATAAGTGCATAGAGAATTATCTGGAATTTAAGTCAAGAGTTCTTTTTTGTACAATTTTTATTGTAAAAATGCTGTACAGAGGGGTTACAGTTACATGAGCAAGATACTGAATATATTTCCTATTGAACATTGTTGCCCCCTCCTTTGTTTTCCCCCTACCATCCCTTCCTTCCCACCTCCACAGTGCTAAGATCAAGTTCTGCTCTACCATCTGACACTGTAATTTGAGGCAAATTACTCACTCAGTCTATACTCTACTTTTCTTTTCTATAAACTGACAATATGGAAAATATGTCATAGAATGGTTATAAGAATAAAAGGGCTTTGTAAACTTTAAGCTGCATACCAAGTACCAAAAGTAGCTGTGGTGGTCAGCTTAACTTTGTCAATGTTGTAATACAAGGGAATGCTTAAGTGATTTGGGTTTTTTGTTTGTTTGTTTTTGGTAAATAAATCTTGGGAAACTCAAGATTCTATTCAGAGAAGGAGGAAATCTGATCTACTTAGTGGTTAAATTCATATACTGAATTTTCTTAAGGTAAGAACAAAGTCACAGAACAAGCCCAAGAAAATATAACCTCCTCCAGTGTTTCATAGTCTCCAGGATCTTCCCATCTTTCCTATCCTTAATTCTCAGCACCTTCTCATACCCACACCATAACACACACACACACACACACACACACACACACACACACACACACTTAACAAATTTATACTTAGAAAGACTTAAAAAGTTCTTGTTTCGGCTGCTATTCCCTTCCCTTCTTTATGCTTCCACTCCCCCATGTGATATTCTCTTACCCCTATCTCTACCATGGGTCCCTCTGGAAACTCTCTTCTACAGAAGGTTCAGGAAGTAGGTAAAGACCCCAGATCACAGCACAGCTTCCACCCTACACTGGATCCTCCAGCTTCTGCAGATCCCAGAACCTCAGTTTATCTGGAAAATAGGATAGTAATGATGTCTGACTCCTAGGGCTCTTTTGAGGGGTATAGTGCCTCTAGTGCCTGGGGAAATGGACACTGTGGAGTTCCCAAAAAACAATGGAGAAGCCACCTGTGCTCTACAATCCCTGCCCTGGTTTCACTTGCCTCCACCCTGTGCCACACTTATCCCAGGGCTCATCCACCTCCAGCCATGGAGACCCTATTCCTGACCCCCACCGCTGTATGACTGCCAACAGCCTCACAGGCCTCTACTTTTGTGCTCCCAACAGGAAGTGAATACTCTGGCAACACCTACAGCCACACCCCCTACTCCTCCTACAGCGAGGCCTGGCGCTTCCCCAACTCCAGCTTGCTGAGTAAGTCCCTGGGGCTGTTCAAGTTTTCTGCTGGGCAGGGTAGGAGGGGAACAAGACCAGACAAAAATGTGTTTATAGCTGGGATGCACTAGGCTAGATGGAGACTTGTTATTTATTTGGGGAGGGGGGAGCAGCACAGAAGGCTAGAGACTTTATGACTTCTGTTCCCTTTAGGTCTTCAAAGCCATGTTTGTTTGTTTGTTTGTTTTTTCTGCTGCTGCTGGGGCTTGAAGTCAAGGCCTGGGCATTGGCCTTTAGCTTTTTTCCTTCAAGGCTGGAGCTCTATCACCAGAGATACATCTCCACTTCTGGCTAGTTAATTGAAGATAAGAGTCTCTGACTTTTTGGCCTGGACTGGCTTCAAACCATGATTCTCAGATCTCAGCCTCTTGAGTAGCTAGGATTATAGGCCTGAGCTACCAGCAGCTGGCTAATCTTTTTGAGTGTGTAAGATTTAGAGTTCCCGCCTCCAAAGACAGGGGAAATTAGAGGGCAAGGATGGACTCAAGAAAAGCCTAAGACAGGTCCCCTGACCTGTAAAGGCTTATAACCCACAGCAGCAAATACTGGCTCAAGGACACCCCGAAGACATGCCAGTTGATTTCCTTTACAAGAGCTGATTTCAAGATGCCATTCTGTGGTCCCCATTAACCATCTAAGTGGGTCACAAATAATCATGATTCAGCAGTAAAAGTCTTACTCAGCAATTCTTATTCCATCCAGTTCTCCATATTTGGCTTGAGAAAACAGCATTTAAGGCACAGGCCAGAAAGTTGAGTGTCAGTGTCAATGAGCTTGGAGGCTACTCTTCACCTGTCTTTTGTCCTGGGGCCTAGTCTGGATAGAGAAAATTCTTCAGGAAAGCAAGGCTACATATGGGGAACTTGAGGGATTCCACTAGTACACCTTCTGAAGTGGTGGCCTTGGGAGTATCAGAACGGACCTTAATCCGAGAGAATCAGTGACCCAAGGACACCATTGCAAGCTAGCTGAACTGTACATTCCCTAAGACCTTCCTTCTCTAGTTGTTATATCCTGGTATTCCAGACTAGAAGAGTGGCCAACATGGACTGTGTTTGCCAGATGCTTGCAAGAACAAGACAGAGGACAAGGGCAATGAGATGTGTGGGGCTCTGGGAGCCACCCTGCTGAGCCTCCGTAGGCTGCCCACCCAGTAGGTGTGCAGAGCCTGCTAGGAAGTCCTTAAGCCCAGACTGATGAATCTCAATCCTAGTCTAACCTGTTACTGTTTGGGCAAGGCCAGGGAGAAGCCCAATAACCTCCAGTGTACTTGGCTCTTGGGGTTCCATATATAACTATTCTCTGTTACCCTTTTCCAGTAGTCAGGGTGTTGAAGGCCAAAATAGCCAGGATTGGAGTGGGGGAAAGACAGAGAGCAAGAAGCCACCATTCTCTTCTGGCCAGAAATTCAAAGGTGAGGCTAGAGAAGGGAGAAACAAGGCTGGAGAGTAGTTAATCTTTGATGATCAGGTAGGCAACACATAAATGATTAACACATGCTGTCCTATACGTCAGCAGATGTAGGGAAGGCTGTGGGGCAATTTCCTCCTCTGACCAGCAATGTTGTTGTTATTTTTTTTAACATGTCCAGGTTCTCCATATTATTACAGCTCCACATCAAGGGCAGGTGCACCACCCACCACTGCCACAGCCTTTGACCATCTGTAGTTGTCATGGGGACAGTGGGAGTGACTGGGAAACAGGAGGACTCAGCTTGGGACAAGCCCTTCAGTCATACAAAGGAATCTTTATTTATTACATGAAAAATAACGACAATTCCAGCATTGCGACTCACTCCCTGTGTGGTTAATGAACCATGAATGACAAGATGACCTTGGAGAAGGTTGAACTGTCCTCTAAAACTCCATGATGATGGGCAGAAGTTCCAGAGAGAGAACCAGTTTATTACTAAAGAGACCAAATTGGTGGAGAAACATGCTCAGGCTGATGCCCACCACAAAAAAAAAAAAAGGAAGAGGAAAGAAGAGGGAGCATGAAGAGCATGAGGGGGTTGCAAACGGGCTAACAGTTGCTCAGTGGCCCTTGTGTGTATCTATCATCAACACCACTCTAGCAATCTTGACAGTAGTAAGCAAGTCCTTTTTCCCACAACTCATACCCTGGGCCAAGGCTTTCCATTAGTCACTAAGAGTCACCACTTTCTGCCTCCTGCCACCTTCTTCAGCTCAGTTTGCTTGGATCTGCCTACACCTCCCTCCTGGGCATGAGGAAAGGCTGGCCAAGTCCATCAGAAACTCCGGCTGCCTGCTGACCTTCCCTTTGCTTGCTGCTGTGAACTTACAAGCACCAACCAGCCTCTCTTCCAGTAGATTGCGTTGGCTGCTGACAGCAACCAGATCAGCCAAAAGTAACTGGAGACAGCAATTCCAAAGATCCATGGCCTTTGGGAGGTACAGTGCAGCTCTGCCAAGGGCAAAGCTAGGCAGAATGGTGGGGACTTACTTCCCCTTCCCAACTGCTCCTACCAAATCAATGTGTTGTCTGCAGCTCCAGCCCACACAGCCACTGAAGAGACCTTGAGGCTGCTGGAGCTAATAATGAGGTCCCCTCTCTAGCCCCTGCAGTTTGTTCCCCCACAACCTGACTGTAAATACTGTAAATGACGCTCTGTTTAGGTCAAGCTTTCTTCTTTCCATTCCCCATATTTTGGCTTCCAAGTGAATCGTCTCCCTACTGTGTTGGGCTTTTCTCCTTGATCCTTCTTTCTTTTCTAAAAACAACCCACCATTGCCAAATGACTCAATAAACCATTACTCTTTATCTCAGGCTTTGAGGTTGACTGGAGAAGGAAGTACCATGGGGTTGAGGCTTCCTCCTGAGCTCAAAGCTGAGTGGCTGAAAAGTCACTTGGGAGCTTTGGGTGTAAAAGGACCTTCTATTATCCCATAGCCCTGAGGTAGCATTCTTCCTCTGTCCTTAGTAGATGTCCAACACAGGGTAAATCAGTTATTTCAAGCTTTGAGGTTTTGCATTCTTTAAATGTGAGCATGAAACAAGCATGTGGCACTGGCCCATCATGTACTCCCCATAAGCAATTACTGTTAGTATTAAAACAGGATGTCAGAGAATCAGTGGCCTTGATTGTGGAAGGATCCAGGAATAGCTACAAACTGGGACATCTCTTATGGACCTCATAGTGTTGGAGGATGAAAGGGAAAAGACTAGGCTCTCTTGTGTGCCCGCCTGATGTGGGAGGGTGTTGTGGAAGCTAAGTTGGAGTCAGCCACAGTTTACATATTAGGGAACTGGTGCTCAAGTTAATATGGATACCTGGGCAGATAATTGATGGAAGAAAGGATCTTTATCCTACCAAGGGACCCCCCCCCCGCAAGGTGGGGAAGACAGAGTGTAGAGACAAGGCTGTTATCTTCTTAGGTTTCCCATAAGCAGAGAAGCTCATGGGCAGGGGTGGCTTGACAATAGTTGTATCATAAGGGGAACCCTCCTGTGAAGCATTTGAAATGAGTCTCATTCTCTAGCAACAGTGCTTCCCTCTTGCTTGAGCTTGGCAGTAGGATGCTAAAGCCAGTTTGTTTGTTTTTTTGTTTGTTTGTTTTGGTCAGTCAGGGGGTTTGAACTCTGGGCCTGGGCACTGTCCCTCAGCTCTTCAGCTCAAGGCTAGCACTCTATCATTTGAGCCACAGCGCCACTTCTGGTTTTCTAGTGGTTTATTGGAGATAAGAGTCTCACGGGCTTTCCTGCTCAGGTTAGCTTTGAACGGTGATCCTAGGCGCCCAGCCTAAAGACAGTTTTATCTGAGGCTCTTCATGACCTTGCACCTAAGTTCCTAAATGCCTTAAGAAAACCTCCCACTCAAGAATTCTTTAAGATGTGTAGGGTCACCAAAAACGTGGATATCAATTCTTTGCATTCACGTATAAAACCCTTCTAGGAATACTGTGTGCCTATGGCACACCCTCTCCAAATGATTTGGGTGTATTTTTAATGAGGTGACCTTGGCACAAAATTCACCTTCCTTTCTCTTAAATTGGTTATCCTAGGACACTCATCTCAGAACAGATGTTGGGTGACTGTGTGGCATGACCACAAGGACTAGGTTTTGGCTAGACCCCATGTGGATAAGTCATCCAAGGATCCAAGATGAAACTATAGATCATTTGAGGTTCAGAAAATATAGTCATCACCATCAATGTTGCCAGAGAGAAATGATTATGAGGTACCTCAGCACTGGGTATGATGTTGTGAGTTGGTGGGCTATGAAAGGAGCACAATACAAAAAAAAAAAAAAGTGTACTCATTACCTCACTCATGTAACTGTAACCCTCTGTATAGTATCTTTAAAAAAAAAAAAAAAAAAAAAAAAGGATGTGAGGACAAGGATAGGGACTTGTGGGAAGTGGTAGGAATTGCGCTGGAAGGCCAATCTGCCCTGGGAGCGTGAGGGAAGCATCTGTGGATGGCTGAATTTGAAAGCGACTGGTTTACTGTGCAGGAAGTCAGAAGCCCTGCTTTCTGAGGGGTTGGTGGGAGTGGTATTTGTTGCAGAAGTGGGAATGAGGTCTGAAATATTCCTATTGTACTAAGGGCTCTTTGTACAGACACCCCCATTGCAACTGCTCCTAGACTAACCTCTTTCACTGGCCTACATGAAAAGACCTGGGCTTTCTAGGCAGCTCTTTCTGGTCTATCACATGCCTCATGACCTGCTCTTCCTAGCACTGACCATACAAACCTAGAACCTTAGATTAAGTCCCTGGATAACATCTGACAGAGCAGACTGTGGCATAGTTCTAATGAAAGGACCCTGCCTCCCACAAAAATTGCTTTCCTGTGTCTCTTGTTTGTCCATTCTTTTTTTCCATCTTATTTTCTTATTCCATTCTCTCTTTTGCTGAGTTCAAAGAAGTTATGCCTTTTCCTCCATGTGATGGACTTTTGTATTTCCAGGGCTGTGGATGTGTGAAAGAGAAGGTAAATGACTGCAGAGAGCCTTGAGATCCTCCATGAGCTGTGGAGGTGCCCGGAAGCTTCCTCTTGCTCTCAAGTCCCCTTCTCTTTGGCTTCTTGCTCTTCTCATTGCTTTATTTCCTTCCTTTGGCTCTTGGACCTCTCTAGGACACAGGCTCTGGAGACTGGTCATCCTGTTCACATACTCTGGCACCCCACTCACCACTATCATCAGCCTCACGCTGCCTCTTTCCATCCCCAAACAGAATCAGGATCTTCTTCCTGGAAGAAGCTGGAGGAGGATGGGTCTTTCTTCTCTTCTGGGAAGCACTGTCCTTCGATACCCTTTTCCCCCATTTTTGAAAAGCAGAACAGACTAAGACCCAGCTGTGGGGGTTGCCTGCGATTTGGGGCAAGAGCCTCAGACCCTGTGGGAGGAGGCCAAGTGGGGGTGGGGAGGTGGACCAGCTCCTCTGCATCTGTGCCCTGTGGCAGCAGGCCAGGCTGGGGAGTGAAGCTCTGCCTGCGGCTCTCCCAGGAAAATGTGATTTCCCTTGAGTGAAGCGGACTGTGCAGTGTGGAAATTGGCTCTTTTCTGAGCGAGCAGTTGCTGTGGCTTTGGAGTTGGGGCGGGCTGGGGCCTGCAGGAGGCCCCTGGAGTGAGCCGGGAGCAGCCATGTGCTGAGAACTCATTAGGGATAAATCAAACTAGTAACAGCATGAAGCCAGCACCCTCCCCCTCAGCATACGGTCCCTCCCCACCCCCTCTGAGACCTCCCACTCCCTCTCTTCCTCCACAGTGGTCCTCTCCCATCCAACTCCCTCTTGCCTTCTCCCCAGCCAGGATATCTTCCCCACAGCCAAGACAACTTACCCTGCAGCTCCAAGAGCCCACACATATACATACATACACATCCATGGACTCTTGTATGCACGTATCTCTGCCCAAACTCCAGGAGCTGACATTAAATTAAAAATATGTTCATTTAATAATATAGCTATTTTGTTTGCTTTATATTTGTTTCCTTTCAGTGGTATAGGGCTTGTCATAGCCCAGTTCTTGCTAGATGCACAGATAGGGAACTCCCATTACAGTCCCCCACCTAGGTTCTATGTGATCTACAACCCACTTCTTCATCCTTGCACAATCTTTTCCTGGGTTTGGGGGTGTCCCACAGTAGAAACTCGTAGGTACAAAATATCAACTCTCCCACCTATGAATTCCTGGGGAGTTGAGAACACCAGAAGATTTCCTGTAGCAGAAAAGAAATTGTCCACAAAATGGATGAGCTTGGTTAGAAAGGAAACTAACTCATTTCTCACAGAAGGAGAAAGGAAGAGAGAAAGAATTGGTGGAGGGGGAGGCAGAGAAGCAAAGGGAGGGCCAAGGACTGGGCCACTAATCCAGGGCTGCCCTGCCACTAGATTGGGGGTATCATTAGAACCTGTTAGCTATTGTTACAATGATGATAAGGATCCTGGTAATCACAGTTGCCATGTGTGGTAAGTCCTGCACCCCAACTGAAAGTGGCTAATGGATGCTGCTAGAGGAACCCAGGCCTGAAGTATAGAGCTGCAGCTTCTGATCCATCCCACTGGTGACTCAAAGAGTGTCCATCTGGCTTAACCCAGAATGATGTTCTGCTTTCACTTCTGATGCCATAGTTACAGGGCCAGTGAAAACCATGGAGAAGTTTTCCTAACCCTGAATAGGGTTAGGAGTTGTTAGTTATGAAGTCCCTTTCTCCCAATTTTCCAGGCAAAATCCCCTATTTGGAATCTGATCCCTGTTTGAAGTATGGGTGGAGTTTTGCTTCCCTACCTGCTCAGATGGGCAGAGGTTCTGGCTCAAATATGTGAAACTATAGACAGGTTTCTAAAGGATCTCGGGATGGGGCAGAAGTTGTTGGGTCCGATGAAAGGTAAGTGCACCATTGGCCTGTTCCCCAGCCTCCCTCAGCCCAGGAGACAACCAGACACAGCGGGGAGCCAAGTCAAGCAGGAAGCAAACTCATTTATTAACAGAGAGCAGCCCTTTTTAAAGCCAAAAAGGTGCATTGGCATGGCAGGGGAGGAAGAGGAACCAATCACTGTCAAGGTCACACCCTATCATGCACCTAAGCTTCCACACTAAGCTGGTTACACACTGAATGTAAGGCAAATTGGGCTCTGTCCACTCTACTCTCTCTCAGAGCCATCTTTGCTGCCCATGTGCTCTACAGTAAATCAGGCTCTGCCCACTCAACTCCCTCTCAGCGCCATCTTTGCTGCCCATGTGTTCTGCAAGAAGTGAGGGAGGGAAGAATTTTAGACAGAGATATAAGGATTTTGCTTCATCCTCACATTAACTAACTGGTCCATTCATTCTTCCATGAACTAACCTACTATGAGCAATTCTCTTTTGTAGGTACCTAGGAGAAACAAAATAAATCCAATTGGAACGTTCCTCCTACCCTCTCCATCACAAAAAAAGAACAAACCTCTCAGAGCTTAGATATGAGATGTTTGCAACCATAGAGCAATGTGGAAAATTGGTGAAGATCATAAGAAAGATATAAAATACAAACAATATTTGCAAAATCCTTTATGGGCTTGCCAGGATTTTCTCTGGCATTGCTGTCTTCTCCTATAAGCAGCTGCTATAGACTTCACTAATAAGCTCTATATTTCAGGCCCAGCAGCCTGGCCTGTCTCTTCTTAAGAGCTACTCCTTAGCCTTCCTGTGTGTCTATGCCCATTCCATCCACTGTCGCTAGACTCACTGCTGCTTAGCTCATTGAACAGAAAAATCTGGCACCTGTGCCTCTTAGTCTGCCTCTTTGTTCCTATACCCTGGTAGGGAAGCAGGAGAT